CAAATTATATTATTTGGCTCCCGAAAACCAACACCTCGCTAAATATTATGGACTTTAGGACTACTATTCATTTATTATTCTTTATCTATTTAATAAACATGATGTTATAACTCTCTCCCACTTAAATTATATTTCGTCCTCAAAATCATTCCTTACCATACCTTACACGCCAGACAACTTGAACGACATGGCCACAATCCCGAGCATAACCCCAGCCTTCCCAAGGCAATCAAAACCAACCCTCACAGGGTTCTAAAACCCGGAGATGAACGAATTCCTTGCATTATGATCACATTACTCAATCTGAAATCTGTAGTCTCGAGATGTTCTGACTCCCTGACAGACCGCCCATACTGAATCATTATTGTTGAACCCAGTCCACTTATCTCTCAACTGACTACTCAACTTATGATAACTCGAGGTTCCGACTAGAAAACAGAATCACAGACCCAATTATCCCTGTAGATCACTTATACTTGGCCAAGGCTCAGATAATCCCACTGTGAGTGACTTAGCATAACCCAAGCAATCTGTTACTCTAACCATACATGAAATCCTAAAACACTAATACTTCCCGAAACAATGTGCTGCCACCTGGCTGCTTTCTAAAATCCACCTAGATCTCCCTGGTCTCAATTCGTTCGTCGGTCATCTGAATACCAGGTTTCGACCCGGTTGCGGAGCCAAAGGACTCCCACGCAGTCGCCCCACACGACTTCCGAACGAAATCCTTGTTTTTCAATAGTTGCCACTAGTTATCTTGCCACTGTGGCTCTAATGACCTTCTGATTGGGTCCATACGTCGAGTCCTGACGTCACCAAATCCAAGGCTAAAAGTGATTACTACATGACCAAGGGTAGCCTTATATCACAAACGACCTTAAACGATCCATTGCTTCATTGATCCCCTGACTGCAGTGGTGTTCCTACGGTCTTATCACTGGCTCAACCAGGTCTAATTCATCCGGGGAAATCCGTAAACCAATCCGTGGATTTGCCACGCTCTCACTGCTGCACCCGAACTGGTGGGTACTACTGTTCCTTCCGCGATCTAATAATACTCCCATGCTACCTACCAACCTAGTGAATGCTACGACTACATCCGCAGTCTTACAACACTCTAGCACTATCTGATAACCTTGTGAATGTTATGACTACACCTGCAGACTTACAACACTCTAGCACTATCTGCCAACCTTGTGAAGGCCACGACTACACCCGCAAACTTACAACACTCTAGCACTATTTTCCAACCTTGTGAATGTTACGACTACACCTGTAGACTTACAACACTCTAGCACTATCTGCCAACCCTGTGAATGCTACGACTACATCCGCAGACTTACAACACTCTAGCACTATCTAAAACCTAGCTTATTTCACCCTTTCCTACACTTTAACTCTTGAATGAGGACTAAACAAGGTCTAAGCTTGCACCTTTATGATTTAAAAATGTCTAGAAACGTTTGAAAATACAACTTAGAGGCTTAGGAGTAGCTTATACTCACCAATATCTAAACTTTAGGGACAAGAAGGAAGAAACTAGTCTCAAACTAGAACTTAATGAAATACAAACCAAGTTTGGAGCTTTATACCCCATGGTGGTGCAAAATGAAGAGGATGTGTTGGATCCAGAGTCTTGAGGACAAAATTTCCTTCTTGAATAACCTTCTTCACAACCAGAAGCACACACAATCACTCTAAACACTCCAAAATGAACCAAATGCACTAGGGTTTGCTAGGAGGGTCGAGAAAGGAAATGAAGGTTGAGGCAGGGAAGGGTCTTGGGCCATAATGAGGTTTAAATAGTGCACAAACCCTAATTATTAGGGTTTTGGTTTGATCCACGTATGCCCTGCGTACTGGAGTACGTGCATCGTACTCGCACGAGACCTATTATGCTAAGCGTACCAAGACGGACGCCCCGCGTACACGATAAACACCAAAATTCAAGATTTAGACTTCGGGGACCCCTTTTGCAACAAATTCAAAATTCAAGGGTGCAAAAGCAACTTTGATCATTGTAGACGTTATATTTTTCTTTCAGATTTCTTAAATATAACAAAGGAATCATTTTATTATTATTATTATTATTATTATTATTATTATTACATAACTATATTTTATAAATGTATAAGAACATATTTATATATTTAAAAACATGATTTTTGTTAAACGTATTGATATCTTTAAAATCGTATTTATACATTTAATATGTGTAAATTTGATCTCGTCGGTTTGAGGAGCGGATGTTTCACAGTAGGACATGCCGTTGCGTGCAAAGTGGCAAAGCACACGAATGCATGTATAGAAAATCAACATGTGTTTGTGCCTTATGCATTTGATACATTTGGTTTTCTCGCACCAGAGGCGGTGGAGCTCCTCAACAAAGTCTAACGGGTCATGCATTCTAATGTTATATCTCCTAGATCCACATATGTTGTTTTCAAAAGAATTAATTTTGTCATCCAGAAAGGACTAGCGGCGCAACTTGCTGTCTGTTTGCCTTCTATCGATATGTACTGAACTTTATTATTCACAATGAAAAAAAAATATTGTATAAAGACGCATCATGATGTATAAATAAGTTCAAAAAGAAATAAAAATGCATGTATTCATATTTATTTTAAAAAATGCATGTATACATATTTATGTATATTTTTATGGACAAAATTGCAAAAATGGTCCCCGTGGTATGCATTTTTTTTGGGTTTTAGTCCAAACTCTGACTTTTTTGACTTTGTGGTCCTTTTGGCCATGTTTGTACGTAAATTTGGTCCCTCGTAAAATTGAAATGACTGTAATGCCCTTCTGATATTTTTTTTATGTTTTTTCTATTTAATTTAATTGAAAAAAAATAATTAATTAGTTTGGGCCCACATCTCTCTCTCTCAACATAAAAAACACACATGTGAAAGGAGGTTCGTAGTTTCTGGCTCGTTGGTTCAAGGTAGATGGTAGTAGCAGATGTGAAGGATCGATGGTGGTTTTGGGTGTTCGAATACAGAGGTGCGACTGGTGGTTATTAGAGGTTGAAGGCGAGGTTCAACCCAACTTACCATTTGGTTTGGGTTCAAATCATATCTTATCTTTAGTGATATGACTCCTCCTCTTCATGATTTTGCCTTGATACACTGATTAATTGAAGTTCAAAGGTAAGGGCAGTTGAAGATGTGGTCCTCAGGTGCGCTTCTATGTATCAGAAAAGTTTTTCCCTACTACACTGATCATTATAGAGTTCAACTTATTCTCCCTTGATCATCATCTTCTTTACAGAAACCTACAAATATCTTTTTTTGGGGTATCCTTGTGCCAGTCGACATACACATCAGGTTCAAGAAGGGTTCAAATATCTTTACATAAACATGCCCCTGTTCTTAGTTTAACTTTCTTGCATCTTAACCTGATGCAAATCGTACACTCCTGCCTCGTATGTCCTTGAACACGAATTTGATGTTGTGAGTTGTTATTGGAAACTAATTTCATCTGGGTTTAGTTATATAATCGACTTCTCAATCTGGGCAATTGTTCTTGGAAATTGATTTCATCTGTTTTTTTTTCCGGGATTGATATTTCAATCCAGTGTTTAGCAATTTGGATTAATTTTAGTTTTTGTGATGGATTTGATGTAGCAGGTTGCAGTTAAAGCTTAAATTCATCTTGGTTTGTTATTTGGTCGATTTCTCGATGGTTTGGGTTTATCCGGGTTTTTAGTTTCTTTTCGGTTTATAATCTTGAATTCAAAAGTCTATGATTGCATTTGAAATAAAGTGAAAACAAATTCATCTCGTTTTTTCATCTGATTAGTCATTTATTATGTGTGTTTATTGAAGCTGTGAATCATTTAAGTTTTTATGATTAAGAAATATTGAACTTATTTGAGGGTTTTTAGTTCCTGTAGTTAACAACTTGAATGTTGTGTATTTTTTAAGAAGAAGAACTCTTGGAGAGAGAGAGAGAGAGAGAGAGAGAGAGAGAGAGAGAGAGAGAGAGAGAGAGAGAGAGAGAGAGAGAGAGAGAGAGAGAGAGAGCCCCTTCTTAATTTATGAATAATTAAAATAAATATATTAGTATTAGATTTAAAAAGAAATGAAAGAAAAATTAAAAATAAATACTCAAAGGGTATTACAGTCATTTTACTATTCATAGAGACTAAAAACGTAAGGAAACTAGCTCAAAAGGACCATGAAGCCAAAAAAGTCGAAGTTTGAACTAAAACCCTCAAAAAATGCATACCACAGGGACCGTTTTTGCAGTTTTGTCTATTTTTATGTAGGGCTAATGCCATAAAAACCTTTACATTTTCAAGAAATTGTAGCTTTTACCATTTGATGATTTTTAGGTTCATTAAAACCGAAAGTTTGCAACTTTTTATTCACTTTTATCATTTTTGCCGGTTAAGAAGGTAACCTGCTGGTCATTAGTAGAGATGGCGCTTAACGTGTGCATGATTTGTTAATTCGGATGATGAGGCACGTGAAGTGGCCCCACATCAACTCCAGGGCGGATCTTTACCTTTATACATATTTAATCCAAAAATATAAAATTTTGACTATGGCCCCTGTTCACCAATTTTTATACAAATTATATTTTCGGTCGCCCAAAATGAAATATTGAAACTCCGCTCTTGATCAATCGAAGAGAAAAATACAGGCGCTTTAGGGAAATCAGCATGGCAGGGATCGATCTTGGGACGTCTCATATTGGGGTGTGCGCATTTACCATATAATATTTTTGTCCATCTATCCCCTACTCTTTTACTTTTGTTTTATTTGAACTTTTTAATTATATTTTAGATTCCAATATTTGTTAATTTTTATTTATTATTAATTATTATTTATATTAAATATTTAGTGATGTATGTTTGAAAAAATAACTAATAACTAATACATAACATTTGTTAGGTTTAATATATGTAAATAAAATTGAGTTGTTATTTTTTTAATATTGTATTAATTATAAATTGATATATCACAGGACTGAAAGGGTTTTGTTGGTTTCTCTCTGTTTGCCGTCTTCTGTGCGAATTGGGTGCCTACTCTTGCTCGTTATGGAAGATTTGCAGAAGCTCCTGCTACATGACCATGGTCTATCAGTTTCGACACTTCCGGAGAAAGGTCGCTGCCTCTTCACTACTCGAGAATATTCCCCAGGTATCTCTCAATTTCTAAACCTTCATCCCTCAGTTGTAGCTAGCAAATGGGTCAATCGTGGTTTGGATAACCGGTCAAAATGGGTTCCTCTCAAAACCGATACAATTAAACGATACTAAGAACAGGTTTGTGTGGGTTGGATGTTGATCATTCTATTTATATTCTTAAATTACAGGAGAAATTATATTATCTGAAGAACCTTATGTTTCTGTACCAAACAAAACTCCAGTGAAATCCAGATGCGATTGGTGTTTTACATCAAGTAATGTGAAGAGATGTTCATCTTGTCAAGTTGTGTGGTATTGTGGAAGTAAGTGCCAGGTATATTTTGCTTCATGTTGTTATCTACCATTCTACTTCCATTAATTTTGTTTATTATCACATCCTACTTTCATTTCTTTCTATTACATCTTTCTACTTTTAATTTTCTCTCATCAAGTTCTTTTTTCTTTCATTTGGACATTCACTTTGAAAAATTCTACCCAATTATAGTTGGGTAGGTTTTCAAAGTACAATAGTCTAGGATGCCATAACAAACAACTAAATGAAAATATGTTGCTATTTGCTTGCATTAAGTCATCATTTTTTAAATCATCATATCTTTCTTCTTAATATAATGTTTCATTGGTGATCATTTTAGACATCTGATTGGAAGGTGCATAGACTTGAATGCCAACTTCTTGCCAAGCTGGAGAAAAATAGAATAAAATCTCTTACACCTTCTATACGTTTGATGGTTAAACTTTACCTACGCAGGAAGTTGCAGAATGAAAAGGTTAATCTCTCTCTCTCTCTCTCTCTCTCTCTCTCTCTCTGTATATATATATATATATATATATATATATATATATATATTTAATACTAGCATTAATGCCAGGTTATTCCTACTAGTGTGACAGACAACTACAATCTGGTGAAAGATTTAGTATCTCGTATCCTTGTGTATATGGAGTATTGCCCTGTATATATATGTATTGTGATGCTAAGTTTCAATGGGGTTTTGTTGTTAAATTTGACACATTTTCATAAAGATATCTCGGAAGTTGAAGAGATGCAGTTGGTGTTGTATGCACAAATGGCAAGTCTTGTGAATATAATACTCCAGTGGTCTACTCTCAATATTAAAGAGATTGCAGAAAATTTCTCCAAGGTACAATCTTCTTAAACTGCATAAAATTATCCTCAAGTGAAGTGCCTATTTCAAAGTTAAGTGTTTAATGAGGTTACTTGTTAAAAACCAAATTTTGTTAAAAAGATAACGAGTTTACTTGTTATTTTTAAGTTTAATTTTGGACAAGTAATAGAGGGTCAATAGCCACATAGCTGTTATATGATATGATATGCATCCTTGAATCTTGATGTATAATCATATTGGACAAATGCCCAAACTGATATTTTTTAACATTTCTATTTTTTAACAAAATGAGAACATCTTCTATATGATTTTATAATAAATATTATTTTAATCACATTCACATACAGCTCGCATGCAATGCACATACAATTTGCGACAGTGAGCTGATACCATTAGGAACCGGACTATATCCCGTCATTTCCATTATAAATCACAGGTGACTTCAAGGGTAAAAATGGTATTTTCTTCTTTGAAACTTCACTCACATCAACTAAAAATTGACTTTGATTTTACAGCTGCTCTCCAAATTCAGTTCTTGTATTTGAGGGCAGAATGGCAACTGTACGTGCTATGCAAACAATACCAAAAGGCAGTGAGGTATGTTTTTCTTACAATCCTTCTATTTTTAAGAATCAGATTATTTATTCTAATAATAATAATAATAATAATAATAATAATAATAATAATAATATATAAAGGTATTGATAAGTTACATAGAGACAGCAGGAAGCACCATGACTAGACAAAAGGCTCTGAAAGACCAATACTTCTTCATCTGCAGTTGTCCCCGATGCATAAAACTGGTAATTTACATTATTTGTTGGAAGATATTTGGTATTATTATTATAAGTACATAAATTTTGTTATTATGAGTAAAAAGTGGATTGCTTTTGATTGAAGGGTGAGCATGATGATATTGAAGAAAGTGCAATTCTTGAAGGATACAGATGCAAGAATCACACATGCAATGGTTTCTTGCTTCGTGATCTTGGTATGGTATTAATAGTGTTGATATTGTTTTATTTATTTATTTATAATTTTGTTTGCAGAAAGTAAAGGATTTAAATGCCAACAATGTGGGATTATAAGGGAGAAAGAAGAAATTGTAAAGATTGCTAGTGAAGAAAAAACAATGTCAAACAAGGCATCTGTAGCACTTTCCTCTTGTCGTATCCTTTAATTTTTTCTATGTAATTAATATGTGGATATCTTTTACTTGTTTTTTTCATTTCTTGAAAATCTTCCTTAATTAGATTTCAGATAACAAGGAAGCGCTTGACATGTATTTAATGGTTGAGAAACTCCAAATGAAGCTTTGTCATTCCTTTTCAATCAATCTAATGCGTACAAGGGAAACTCTATTAAAAGTAATGCATTTAATCTTTTTTATACATATATTTTTTAAAGAAGTTAAATAGTTGATAAATGTCACACTTTTTTTTTTTTTTTACAGATATTAATGGAGTTGCAAGATTGGAAGAAAGCACTTACATATTGTAGACTCACTATCCCAGTTTATGAAAGTACATTATCAACTACAAAAATATCTTCCATAATCATTATAATCAAACTTTACATAATAATAAAATATCCATTTACCATGAGTATTCTATTTAATTACAGGAGTGTACCCTAAATTCCATCCTTTAAGAGGGTTGCAATATTATACGTGTGGGAAGCTTGAATGGTTTGTACTTTGTAGTAGTAAATTACTATTTTTTTTTGTATATATATCCAACTTCCTTAACATTTATTTTAATAAGAAGTTTATAAAATTTTCAGGTTACTTGGATACACTGATGAAGCTATTAAGTCGCTTACACAAGCAGTTGATGTATTACGCATTACTCATGGAACTAATACTTCTTTCATGAAGGATCTTATTGCAAAATTGGAAGAAGCACAAGCAGAAGCTTCTTACAAGCTTTCATCAATGGATGATTAGTGATATCAATTTGTACTTAATGTTAATGAGGACTTCACTTAATCTGATAAGTTATATGTCAGTGTTTCTTTTTGACTTAATAGAGAAAGTCAAGGAAATGTGGCTTTTCTATCAAGTCCTAACTTAGTTTATGTAATTTTTGGTAGATGTTCTCTTTTATACAATTGTTAAACAGGTAGAAAATTTTGGGGATTCATGACTATTAAATACAATGCTGCACATATTTGAGCAACATTCTTAGTGCTAAAGGGATTAAGACATTTTTTTTATGAACATCTTGAGAACAAAAAATTTCATGAGGGTCGCGATAGATAATTAAATTGGGTTATAAGATTCAATAATGCTTTAACTGATTTTTTATCGGCTACTTAATTACTCATATAAACAAGTGGTTAATCGCTTTGTTTTTTTTTCAACATTGTTTTCAATTAAAAAAAAAAATTAAATATACTAAAATTGATAGTTTTTTTCTACAGTAAAGACACAAGTTAATATATTTTGAAAAATTCGTAAATTTGTAATGTAATATTGAATCATAACAAAGTATGTTAAATTTAATTTTGTTGCCATCCAAGAACACATCTGAGCCACCAATTTTGAGCATATCGTTCACGGAGCTGGTAACATGTTGAGCACGTATGAGAAGAGGTTCAAGTAATCTAGGTAATGAACAAGCAAAAGTAAAGAGGGATAAATCCACCAAATTTTATTGTCCCTGAAAACCAAAAGTCCAAGTGACATTGATAATTGTGACAAATAACTTAAATCGGTAACTAATAATTTAAAATCCTCTAGGTTACTACACTTTTAATTGTATCCAATAAGCAAACCAATTTTTTATTTTGGTTTTAAAATACCAGCAATTATGATTTTCATCGGTTAAAATGACAACGAACACCATTATTGTTCTTGTCACGTCTAACTAATAGCCAATTATAATCAATTTTCTCAAACCACAACTTCAACTATATAGATTTTTATTGATTAAAATGGAAAAATCACAAAACAACATGGCGTTGCTAATGGTTATTAGTTGCGGTTTGAGAAAAACGATTACAAAAGGCTTTTAGTTAGATATAGCAAAGACAATGATGGTGTTTGTTGCCATTTTAATCGATAAAAATCATAATTGTTGGTGTTTTAAAACAAAAATAACAATTTAGTTTCCTAATTGGATACAATTAAAAGTTTAGTGACCTAAAGAATAAGTTTTGTGTTATTAGTTGTGATTTTAAATCATTTTCCCATTTTGAAATAGATGGGTCAATCTCATTTATTGAAGATTTTTTTTTTGTAAAAACCAAAGTTTCTAAAGATTCCCTCTACATTTAAAAGTATACATGTCGAATCGACAATCATTAGGAGATAAGGAAATAAGGTTAGCTATTGATTATTTTTGTTTTTTCTTGATTCTTTTGTTTTTCAATTATTTTCAGTTTCAAATTTGATTTCTTATTCGTGTTCATGTCTTCTTGATATTTGATCAAATGCTGAAAGTTTATAGTATTATTTTTATTTTGTTTGTATGTCAGATTTTTGGAAATTAGACTGGAGTCGATTCTTTATAGCCTCTACGGTGCAAATTTTTTACTTAACAAGGTAGTATCTTTGTAGATTTCTGATCAAAAGTTTTAATCTAGTTCTAAATTTTATGATGTTTGTTTCTGATTTTATTTTGCAGTTGCAGCTTGCTTTGAATTGAATGTGATATTAGGCTTCTATAACTTTGAGCCAGAAATCAGAAATCAGGCGTAATTTTTTCCTTTAAGTAGACAATAGTGTTTAGTTATTGACAATTTTTTCCTAAAAATCATTTATGTGGAAGCCAAAAAAGGAAGAAACGAAAAGTTGATGATACTTTCATTTAAACTCAAATACTTTTATTGCGTATAACATTTGATTAACCATTCCTGTCACTGTTGAAAGAAGTTTTTCAAATATGAAGTTATTAAAAAATTATCTAAAACTATCGATGTCACAAGAAAGGTTGAATGGTTTGACAATACTATGTATAGAGAAAGATATTTTAAGATAAAATTGATCTTGATAGTATTATTAATGATTTTGCATCTAAAAATGCTAGGAGACGTATTTTTCGTTAAAATAGTTGTTTTCTTAATGGTGTAGTCATATTTGTGTTATTTAATATTAAATAGTGAATTTTGTAACAATGTCTCTATTTTCAAATTAAATTTTATTATATTTATAACTTTCGAGGCCCATTTTTTCTTTTCGCCCTGGACCTATTCTATGTTTGGACCGGTCTTGGTACCGCTGAGGTGTATGGTAGCGAGTTACATTGTAACATCCGGATCCCGAGGCATAAATTATATATATATATATATATATATATATATATATATATATTTATTTATTTATTTATATATATATGGAAATCTGAGTTGCCACGAAAGAGTGATGGCATCACCACGACATGGCCATTTGATTGATGATCGCATGTTTTAATTGGGTGCCACACCATGACACTAAGTGGCCACGCTGTGGCGACCATTTTGGGCTAAACCCTAATCTCCGGACTTTAAGCCCTATTTAAAAGAAGTTAATGCTATGATTTCCTCCACCCTCAACCTCCATCACCCTCAAATGAATCCATTGCAAACCCTAACCCTCTGGGAAGCTTTTGTGCTCACTTTTGCAAGTTCTTGGAGGATTTGAAGGAAGAAGAAGAAGAGTTAATGCATTGATTCAACAAGCAAACCTCCCCTTCACTTGTGTGCATCTTCTGGATCCTTTGTAAGTCCTAAAGTGTCCACCTTTTCTTGTATTTCTTCATAGATCTAGGTTTTATGGCATATTATTGTCCCTTTGAGGCGGTTTGAGTGGACTGAAGAGATACAGTTTGCAACTTTATGGTTTCTCTATGTCCCAAGAGCATTATATCTCATAGATATAGGAAATGTTTGTGATTTGGAGTCTTAGCTTGAGGTTGGGTTTTTATTGCATCTTTGACCTAAATATGTGAATAACATGCATGAGGTATGCATATCCATAAAGTTTACATTTTTAGGGTTCAAAAGGACCCCTAAAGTGTTTCTAGAAGTTTTGGTTTGAAGATTTCATGGATTAAGTGCTTATTGGCCTAGTCCCATGCATTAAGTTGCATTTTTGGACTTTAGAATTTAGATCTAGACTTAAAGGGATGTCTTAAGGGATAAAGTTGGAAACTTTATCCATTAAGACCATGGAAAGGATCAGATCTGAGCTTTGGAGCTCTTCAAATCGAAAGAAAATGATTTAAGCTCGTTTGAGCTGTTCAGACCAGTCCCCACGACGTGGCCTTAGGCTGCCATGGCATGGCGATTGGGGAGTCATCGACTGTTTTGTCACTTTGTGCCCACAACGTGGCCAAGGAAGGCCATAACGTGGAGGACCGCTGTAGGTAATTTTGACCTTATTTTTGACCGTTGACTTTAAGGGTTGACTTTTGACTCGTTGACTCTTAGTCAAATTTCTAGTTTTAGAAAGCTGGCCTAAGTATTTATATTGTGTGGCGATATAGGTGGCGTTTAGCACCTGTCTCATGTTTTGCGAGCCATTGACTTTTGATTACATTAGAAAGGTGAGTCTTCTCGATGTACTTGTGTAACGCTTGGTTTTTGGTATGAATTTATTTCCAATTATTTGTATTTTTTTCCTGGAGGAATTGTCGAGCTGGAAGCCTCAACTCGACGTGTCGAAGATGTTTTGGCCGCGAGGTTTAATGAGTCAACTCGACGAGTTGGCAGCTGGGAAGGAAACCCTAATTTTAGGGTTTTGCACACCATTTAAACACCTTAAGTCCCAGGTGTTGGCCTCATTCCTAGCCTCCATAGCCCCTAACCCTAATCTCGAAAGCCTAGAGCCTCCTTGAGTGTTGTGAGCTCATTGTGGGTGTGTTTTGGTGTGTTTGAAGCTCATTGAAGGAAGAGAAGTTTGGTGCAAGGTGGTGGTTCAAGTAGGAGCTTTCAGATCTTGATTCTCTGCTCCATTTCCAACACATTTCTGGTATACTGTTCTAACCTTGCTTAATATTTTCTTAGATCTCTTCTTGGGTTAGATTGCATGCTTTTAGCCATGGATAGGTGGTTGTTGGGGAAGTAGAAGTCCCAAGTGTTTATTCTTTCAGATCTATGATCTTCATGAGCTCTTTTTGCATAAAGGTGCCAACTTTATGGTCTTAAGGGCTTCATGCATTCATTAAGTCCTTCCTTAGGCCCTTTTTGGAACATTTGAGCTTCTCCTAGTCATGCATAAGTGTAAAGTTGGAAACTTTACGTGGCCATTCAGCCTCTAAGGCCAGATCTGCAGTTTGGGGCCATGCCCTTAGTGATTAAGTGCTTAATGATGAATCCCTCAACCTTTTAAGCCTAGGGTTTGGGTGTTGAACCCATTTTGGTGGTTCTTAGGGGTAAAGTTGGAAACTTTACCCTTCTAGATGTTATTTTAGTTGAGATCTGAGTTGTGAAGCCCTTAGTCTAGATAATGTTGGCTTAATAGATTAAGATGTTGGATTTCTGGCGAACTCGGCGAGTTTATGGATGAACTCGGCGAGTTGGATCAGTTTCTTCCTAACTTTACAGACTAATGGATAAACTCGGCGAGTTGAAGGACAACTCGTCGAGTTGGGTCAATTCGGATCGTTGACTTTGACTTTGACTATAGTCTTTGAAAAAGTTTGACCTATAAGGGGCTTTTGGGCATTTTGTGTTGTACTTAAGAAAATCTTTTATGTTTGGGGGTTGAGTATAGTCGATATTCGGAGCCGAGATCCATTCAACTATCTTTCTATATTTGAGGTGAGTTTCCTTACCGGGTTTAGCGGGTCGAAGGCACCAATGCCGACCCATATTAATGTTATGTTGTTAGTATGCTAGCTGTCTTTGTGACTCTTGCATGTGCCTGTGTTTATGTGTTTTTCCGGGCTAAGGCCCGATGCCGGGCGGGGCCTGATGGATATTTGTATGCTATGTGATTATTGCATCTTTATGTGGTTATTTGATATATGTTATTGTATGTTGGGCAGGGCCCGTTTATCGAGCTCAGCTCGATTCCGGACGAGGTCCGATGTCGGGCGGGGACCGATGACAAGGCGGGGCCCACTATATGTTTAATGTATGTTCATTGTATGGTTGTTATTTGGTTTTATGGGGAGACTCACTAAGCTATGTGTAGCACCTCGTTTATTTAATAAATAAATAAATAAATTGATCAATGAATCGTAGCCCTAAAATAA